TGTATATAAATGTAAATATTCCTAGGCAAGCCAGGGCTGAAGCTTATGCTGTTTCCTCTTTCATGGGTGTTTTTGTCCTCTTCAGGAGCATCCAGTAGTTCTGGGCCATGGTAATTTTTTGAACAGTTTGTACCAAGGCTTCCAATAAACCCCTTGCAAAGGGGAAGAAGTAGAAGTGTGCTTGCTTTACAAATTAAAATATACAGATATTTGTCCCAATCTCTACCTCGCTCTTAGATGCCATTTGGTGTGTTCACCTTTCATTTTCTAAGGTGCACATAGAAACCTAGAATGTCTTGAGTTGGAAAGGACCTCTAAAGTCCAGACCCCTAAAATAAGCAGAACATCTCCAACTCGCTGTCTCTGGTTTCTACTCAAGTGCTTTCTGAAGTTTTTCTCAACCTGTGTGAAAGAACCTTAGTCCTGAGATAGCAGATCTTAATCTTTGTTACTGAATTCCTAATTACCAGGGAGTTGCTGCTGTTATATCAGCAGTATTGGAGGTTTTCTGCTGTGCCCTCCCTCTGGCTGCAATCCTGTTGGAAGGATGCCCCTGGAAAAGTGCCCTTTATCCGGGAGCAATGAAAACTTTCTGGGATTGGCTGTGAGTATTGTCATTCCTGAAATAACTTTAGGATTAAAAACCAATCATAATAAAGATGGATTTGCTGACTTCCAGCTTGCTGTGAAGACAGTTGAAATAACCGAACAGCCCTGACTAAGCTGAGGTAGCTAATTTAAAAGCATTTCTTCTTAATTTAATGGAAAATTATACTGTTTTCTTAATTTAATTGAAGATTGTACTCAGTCCACACTGGTTGTAACTCTTTCCATGCAGACCAGCATCCCTTTTCCCTGCCCTGGAGCATACGTGGAGCACATCACTTGGAGTTTCCTGGGGGTGCCTTTTGGCTGGTGCTGAGGGCTTTTCAACAGGAAAACAAAACCTGCCTCTTCTAATTTAATGTTGGTTTTAATCTGTGTCCAGAGTGGCAGGCTGCTAATATCTAAATCAAATCAGGAGGTGGGGATTAAATTTATTAAGCTTCTCCTTAAGCTGGGTGGAATAAAGCAAGAGGCTTGGAGATCACTGACTTGCTTTGGTTTTATTGGGATCTGGTTAAAAAAACCCAAATCTAAGTAAGTCTTATCATTGTATTTTTTTTCCTTGAGAGGCTAAACATGCAGGTCTATTTCTGAGTAATGCTAACACATCCTTCAAAGATGTCCTCGAGGCTTGTGTCCAGTTCTGGGGTCCCTGACACAAAAAGGACATGGAGCTGTTGGAGAGAGTCCAGAGTATGATCCTTGGGCTGGAGCAGCTCTGCTCTAGAGACAGGCTGGGAGAGTTGGCGTGTTGATCCTGGAGAAGAGAAGGCTCCAGGGAGACCTTAGAGCAGCTTCCAGTGCCTGAAGAGGCTCCAGGAAAGCTGGGGAGGGACTTGGCACAAGGGCAGGGAATGATGGGATGAGGGGGAATGGATTAAAACTGGAAGAGGGGAGATTTAGTTTGGACATGAGGAGGAAGTTCTTTGCTGTGAGGGTGGTGAGACCCTGGCCCAGGTTGCCCAGAGAAGCTATGGCTGCCCCATCCCTGGCAGTGTTGAAGGGCAGGTTGGATGGGGCTTGGAGCAGCCTGGGCTGGTGGGAGGTGTCCCTGCCCATGCAGGGATGCATGCAGTAGATGATCTTTAAGGTCCTTTCCAAGGCAAACCAGTGTGGGCTTCTGTGAAGCCAGGACGTTGTTTATTAAGCGGAATAACTACTAGAGATGAGATGGAAGTGAATGTTCTAGAGATGCTGTCCTCCTTCCAGGGTGGGTACCTGCCCAGAGATATGGTTTTGGTGACCCAGTGGCTCTCATCTGTATGAATTTAATTGTCATACTGACAATGTGTGCAGCTGCTGTGGAGGGAGGAGGCTGCAGAGCAGGCAGGGAAGGCAGGAGAGGTGAGCGTGGTGCTCTGGCTTCTCCCCCCCCCCCCCGGGCTGCCTCCAAGCTTTGGTGGGTTTTAATTAAAGCTGGCCTTGGAAAGATCTAAGAATGACAAAGTGCTTTTATTTCAGTCCTGTATGGTTTGACATATTTGGGATTTATGGGTGAAAGGGGAGGATTGGCTGTGGGTCTGCTTAGCTTGCCTGGAGGGTTTGCATCTCTGCTGGAACAGCAAGGAGGGGGAGGACGGTGAACATTGACAACAAAACAGAATTGTGGTCCTTCTTTTGGACGTGTGTGTGCATGTACGCACGAGAGGACAGCATTATAGATGCTTGGGGAGATACATTCATTATAGCCTATTCTCCCTGCCAGCCTGCAGCTATTTAGCAGGATGGGAAGTGCTCCATGCAGGGAGTGCTTGTGCTGGAGCAGCCCATGTATTCGGAATCTTCCAGCCGGGAACGAGTTACCCCCAGGGCTCCTGAGACCTTGCAGACACCCATGTCATTTTGCCTTCCCTACTGCATGATCCCTTGTGTATCTGTGTATACAAAGTCTTGGGAAATTGGTTTTATTATTAAGATTCTCCAGTTTGTTGTTAGGATGGCTGATAGGACGTCCAGTCTTTCACTACCAGGTTGTAAGTCCAAAGTTGTAACCCTGGAAGTCCAAGTTGTAAGCCTGGGTGGTGGGTGCTGAGAGCTGCTGCTGTTTGCCACCAGCAGTTCCCACATCTCCCTTGGGTGTTGGGTGGCTTCTGGCCACGGTCAGTGATGAATTGCTTAGAGGGGCCAATGTGACTTCTGCCTGGAGGCAAACCCAGATTTCATCCATCAAAGCATGTACAAGCACCACAATGTGTTTTTGTTGTTGTTTTGGGGTCAGAGTGCCCTGTTGTGCATCCATTTGTCCAGGGAGGTCTGTGGCTCAGGCCAGCCCCACACACAGGTGGAGAATTTGCAGGACTCCAGCCAAGACCTGCAACATCTTGTTTTTGAGGCTGCCTTGAACCCGGTACATCCCGATCCCTGATTGTTTCAGGTATTTCTGTAGAGCGTGTTTGATCCCTCTTCTGCCAGGAGAGAGCTGGCCCTGGATGAAAACACCACAGCGGGGATGAAAAGGCAGAGACAGCTCTTTGTTGGAGGGTCTGTGAAGCCCTTCCTGTAGCGTTGGAGCTTGGAGAAACTGGGGGGAAGTGAGGAGGGGAGCGAAGTTGTGTTGCATCACCTGTTCTACAACTCTTTGCTTTGTTGTCTGACCAAAGATGGTGCTCCTAGTCATGCTGTAGGGATGTTTCATCTCTTGCAATACCGCTTGCTGGAGGGGACATTGGACTGTGGGCCCTCAACTGGCCCCTTCCTCATGGCAAGGAAAGCACTGAAGGCTGGTGGGGTGCTGGAGGTGATGTGCTGATAAAAATCTGTTCCTTTATTTGATTTTTTTCCAAGTTCCTCTCTGCTAAAAGTGCTGTTCTGGCATTATAGTTGTTTGGCTGCATTAACATCCAAGGGTTCCTCCTGCTGCTGTAGCTGTTGAGCAAGTCTAAAAATAATTATGTGTGATAAATATAAAAATCTATTGCTCTTCAGCAGATGAGCAGGCTATTAGACAACTGCTTTAACTCTTGGGTCACCCCCAGCCATATTTGGCTGTTGTGTACCAGGGGTTTGGTTTTCAGATGAAGGACAAAACCATCTTTGCTACAGTGCTGCTGTCACTTGGACTTGCTGTGGTTTCCCTCAACACCATGAATCATAGAATCATTTTGGTTGGAAAAGACCCTTAAGAGCATCAAGTCCAACCATTCCCCCAACCCTGCCAAGGCCACCACTTAACCCAAGACCCTCAGCACTACATCTACACGGCTTTGAAATGCTTGTGTTTTGTGTCAGAATAAGTATAGATAGATCTGATTTCAATAAACAGGAAATGCCCCCAAATGCCAATAAATTAGTGATTGCTGAAAGGTTCTTGTTGACTCTGTGTTGGCTGGCTGAGTCCACCATCAGCCTGGCTTGATGGGAATACGTCCAGCCAGAAAAGCCTGACTCCAAGTGACCCTTGCAAGGATGGAACAATTTTGGATCCCTGTTTCTCAGGACTGTGCCCTGGCACCTCCTAAGCAGGGAGACCTGGTACCTGCTCTGGCAAAAAGGAAGGTGGGTGTAGAGGGTGAGGGGAAACCCATGCGTGGAGGTCGCAGCATTACTGCTGGATCTGCAACATGTTTGAGAGCACGTACTGGAGGTCTCCCCACAGCAGCTGTTGCTCGCCTGGCACTCTGGGCTGAGTATTTATCTCTGCATCATAAAAGCAAATTAAATCTCATTAGCAGGCAGTGTTGCTGCTCTGAATAACACCTTAATCTTGTTACATGTCATAGGTGCTGCTCGCTCTTGGATTTTGTCCCTTTGTGATCACTTTGACTGAATGTACAAGTCCACAGGATTTCCTCTTGGAGGCATAAATGTGGCACATACTTTGAGAATGCTAAAGAAGTTAATTGTTGCATCTAAACATTTTTTTTGGAGCCTTGAAGCCTTCTTGCAGGTTTGCCTCCAACTGAAGAAGTTGGATTTGGTGTTGCTTGCTGAGCTCCGTGGCTCTTTTGGGTTAGACCTTGCTCTGCCTGGCTCTGTGCAAAAGAAATATGCTTTGATCTCCTGGGGGTGAATGATGTTCTTTCGTAAAAGCTTCTAGAAGGCTGGGGTTTGTTGTGGGTTGTTGTTGCTTATTTTTTTTTTTTTCTCAGGGAAATTAAATTTCATATTTACTTTGAGCCTGTACCTTGCTTTGTTAGATTGGTACCAAGCCAGTGTACACCTCGTCCAGGAGAAGCTTGATTGAAAGTCTGATTGAAAATCCGACTTCTGATCTATCATTTACCCCAACACTTCAATTAGAATATTTCTTTTTATGTACTGAAAAAAATGTTTTTGCTGCACTGACTTTACAATGAGTGTGGGATTGTATCCGTGGTGAATTAATAGGTTTATTATTTAATTTCCTGAAGTTCCCTTGTGTTTAAGCTCTTTCTTTCTCCCCCATCTCTCTCCAGTATACTAGGGTTTGGATTCCTGACCCTGATGAAGTTTGGAGATCTGCAGAAATTATCAAGGACTACAAAGAGGGAGATAAAAGCCTCCATCTGAAGCTGGAAGATGAAACTGTAAGTTTTTGAACATTATTATTTTCAGTAATTTAAAGCTTTGAATGAATGTGTGAAACTGCCTGAGCCACCCCCTATTTTTTTAGGAACTATTTGAAAATGTGTTTTATTGCCTTAGCACTTGCAGCTTCTCGCTGCCTGTTCCCTCCCATGATACTTGTGGTAAAATAGGTTGTGAGAAAAGCCCTTGACCTCTCTCATCTCTTTTCATGCCCCTGGCAAAGTTGGAATAGTCTCTGATGTGAGAATGATTTCTTTTTTTTCTATTATACTGTTTTTTTTCTACCAGCACTGTATTAGAAATCTCAATTAATGGGTTTTGCAGCTGAACAAATGGGGAAGAGTGTGACTGGTGGCATCTACTCAGGCTTGTGTACTGATGGAAACATCACAAAATCACAGGGTTATTGAGGCTGGAAAAGACCTCTGAGACCATCAAGTCGACCAACCACCACCACAGCAGCCAGACCATGGCACTAAGTGCCACATCCAGCCTTTCCTTGAGCACCTCCAGGGATGGTGACTCCACCACTTCCCTGGGCAGTCCATCCCAATGTCTGATCACCCTTTCCATGAGCGAGTGCTTCCTGATACCCAACCTAAACCTCCCCTGATGCAACTTCAGGCCAATCACACAGGGCCAGAAGTGACTGCTGAGCAACACCTTTCCCAGCACATTAGACTTTCCTTGCTAAGTATAATCTTTTGCAAACCCCCATTTTTATCCTTTTATTTATAGAAAAATGCTCTCAAAAACAAAAATGAGAAGAGAATTTAAATATAGACACTTTTTAGCCATTAACACTTTCAAATGGCATGTGTGGAGCTGGTGATAAATCATTCCCAAAGCAGGATGGAGGCTGGGGATGGGCAGTTGCTTTCTGTCCCACACAAAAATCCCAAGGGATGGGACAGGGGATAAGAGCTGATGCAGTGAAGTGGCAAAATGGGCTGCAAAATCTGGGTGGTTTGTGTGAAGGGGGCAGCTGTGCTACCTGCCCACCAGGAGGTTTATTTCCCACATGTGGTGCCTGGCGGAGGAGAAAGAAGAAATACATTTTTCATGAAAAATTCCACCTGAACCACCTTCCTTCAGTGAGCAGAGAGAGTTGCCTTAATGATCTTGAGGGTGATCTGCTATGCTGCTGGAAGGAGTTAATAGAGGCCACTTTTCTCCAAACTGACAATGCTCTGAGGAGGGTGAGGAATTCCCATGCTCTGCCAGCTGACTGTTTCCATCCTACAGGGAGGATTTTCACCCTGTTACTTAATGGGAAGCTGGAGACCAGGAATGAGACATGCTTCATTAGGCTGTTCATCCCAACAATTCTCCTTTCAGAGCAGCGCAGGTGCGGCCCATTGGTGGTGCCTGGATGTGCCAGGTTTGCAAAGCCCTTGGTAGTCGTGGAGGCTCTGTCTCTGGAGGCATTCAAAACGAGCCTGGATGCAGGCCTGTGCAACCTGCTCTAGGTGAACCTGCTCTGGAAGAGACGTTGGACTAGATGGTCTCCATAGGTCCCTACCAACCCCCACAATTCTGTGGTTCTGTGAACACATTCTCAGCATGTGGCTCTGCTGATCAACCCTGGCTGATCTTGTTGTCCTCTTCAGTTTGCTCTTCCAGCCTAGGGCAGTTTTCTAAGGAGGGTAAGGGATGGATGATGCTCCTCTTAGAGGTGCTGTTTCCCACCTGTGGTGATAAATTCAGATGAAGAGTTACACAGACATCACCTGTCTCTTGGAAGCACCAGATGTGTTCTTGTAGGACCATGAGCACTGCCCCTTCTTGGTGGGCTGCCCAGTAGGCCTGTGGTTGGACCTCCTGGATTCCCCATCCTGTGTTTCTTAATCTCTATTTGAAGTCGTACTAATCATCCTTTGAACCTATCTTTTCCCTAATGACATGATGCTTTCTGCTCGTGATGTGAGCATGATGCTCACATTGGGCATGTTTCCAACATTCCAGTCATTCCATGCAGCAATTTGTCCCTGCCTCCCAGTGGCCTCAGATGACCCTTGTGGCAGGGTGTTTCATGTTTGTTTTTTTTTCTTCCTTCTCATGGAAGAAAATAGAGATCTTGGAGAAACAAAGGAGCAGAGCTCAAGCCTTTGTGAGGGACTCATGATAGGTGTGAAAAGTGATCAAGGCTTTAATTTCAGGGCAGGTTTCATGAGCAGTGCTAATGGGTGCTCAGCAGACATGGGTGCCTGGGTGCAGCTGGGTGCCCATCTCCTCCACAGCAGCTCCTTCCCACTGCTTGTGGTGCTCAGGCTCCCAAAGGATATCTGCACATATTGCTGAGTGCTGCAACCTCAATCCCTCTTCCGGTACAGAATTGTTTGGGTTTAAAGGACCTTTTTAAAGGTCATCAAGTCCAACCATTAACCCAGTGCTGCAAAGTCCACCAGTGAAATGTATCCTCTTTTCTGGTTGAGATCTTCAGCAGTTGTACCTCGGGGTTGGAGTTTTCTTACTTTTTTGCTCTTTATTCTGAGTATTTGCCTGGAAAATAAAGGGGCTGAGAAGTCCTGCAAAGTCAGGCCTTTTTCTGCAGCTGAGTTTAGGGTTGGAAACATTGGAGTACATAGAGATGAGAGGATTAGTATATGTTTAAGACAGTAGCTTAATCATAGAATCATTGAATGGTTTGGGTTGGAAAGGACCTTAAAAATCACCTAGATCCAACCCCCTGCATGGGCAGGGACACTTCCCACCAGCCCAGGTTGCTCCAAGCCTCATCCAACCTGCCCTTCAACACTGCCAGGGATGGGGCAGCCACAGCTTCTCTGGGCAACCTGGGCCAGGGTCTCCCCACCCTCACACCAAAGAATTTCCTCCTCATGTCCAATCTACATCTCCCCTCTTCCAGTTTTAATCCATTCCCCCTCATCCCATCATTCCCTGCCCTTGTTCCAAGTCCCTCCCCAGCTTTCCTGGAGCCTCTTCAGGCACTGGAAGCTGCTCTAAGTTCTGAAGCCTTCTCTTCTCCAGGCTGAACACCCCCAACTCTTCTCAGCCTGTCTTCCATAGGAATGAGCATGTTGCTGTCCTGGTGAAACACAGGAACATTTTGGGATTTTGCAAGGTGCTGCCACTTAGTGCAGGAGTTCCCAGAGGCTCCTGTATGATGTTCTTCCACATGAAACCCTGACTAGACCCAAGTCAGGTTGGGCTGAACAGCCTTAGCATGGGCAAGTGGTCCGATGGGGATCTGTGCATCACTTGTCTTCAGGGGAGCTTTGAAGCTGTTGAAAGCCTTTTGTTCCTGTCAGCCAACATGATTACCCAACTCTTTAGTGCTTCTCTTGTGTTCTTGAGCTTTGAGTGAATTTTCATGATTTTTGTGGTTTCTGCTGTAGTCTGTATGCAAGGATAGTCCTGAATGAAGAGCTGAGTTCTAAACATCACAAGGAATTCCTGGTGGGTTTGCTGTCAAGATGGGATCCTGAGTGCAACTTCTTGATTGGCAAGATGGAATGGAAATGTAAAAACCAGCCTGAAGTTGTCAGATGTGCTGGGTGACCCTACACTTGTAAGCTTGGGTCAGCGTTATCTTGGACTGTTTACAGTCCTATGCCAGTGCAGTGGTACTGGTGCCTTCCTGTTGGCAAACTGGGATTCCTCCTTTCTGCTGGCAGCTGAGCATCAGCACCCCTTCCTGAGACACCCCATGGGAAGCCACATCACAGGCAATGATTTGTATTTTCTCTCCCCTGTGAAGGAAGAAAAAAGTGATTTTCCTGTAGTTGATGGCTTTGCTGTTCCTTTGGGACGGAGCCAAAAATATTTAGCATATGGGCAGCCATATGTTTCCATGGCTCTTCTGATGTTGAAGCAGTAGGGTGTGCTTCTCTATGGCCTTCTCTGCCTGAAGGGGTGTGAACATTGAAGTGTAAAAGTAACATGAGTTAAAAAGGAGTTGAGGAATCCCTCTGGTGGCAAGTGTCTGGTCTGCTTTGAAATGGGGCTGCATTCTGAAGAGCACCAAGATGCTTAGATCGTGTCAAGCTTTGGTCTTTTTGTGTGGTACCAGTTGCTACTCAGACCTGGCTAAAGGCTATTTGCCCCCAGGCTGGCCTTGAAAATCCAGGCCAGCCAAGGCCTTTACAACCCTGAGAAGAAGAACCTGCAGCTATTGGTGGATGAAAAGCTCAACATGAGTTGGCAATGAGCTCAGAAACCAACTGTGTCCTGGGCTGCATCAAATGAAATGTGACCAGCAGGTCAAGGGAGATGATTCTGCCCCTTGACTCTGCACTTATGAGATGCCACTTGGAGAACTGTGTCCAATTCTGGAGCCCTTAACAGAGAGAGGACATAGAGCTCTTGGAGTGAGTCCAGAGAAGGCCACAAAGACGATCTGAGGGTTGGAGCACGTCTTCCATGAAGACAGGCTGAGATAATTGGGGCCGTTCAGCCTGGAGAAGAGAAGGCTCCAAGGGGGACCTCATAGTGACCTGCTAGTATCTGAAGGGGCTATAGGAAAGGCAAGGAGGGACTTTTCACCAGGGTATGTAGTGATAGGACAAGAGCTTATGGTTTTGACCTGGAAGAGGGTAGATTTATGTTGGACATTAGGAGGAAATGCTTTAGTATAAGGGTAGTGAGACGCTGGCCCAGGTTGCCCAGAGAAGCTGTGGCTGCCCCATCCCTGGCATTGTTGAAGGGCAGGTTGGATGGGGCTTGGAGCAACCTGGGCTGGGGGGAGGTGTCCCTGTCCATGCACAGGGATGGGATCTAGATGATCTTAAAGGTCCCTTCCAACCCAAACTATTCTATGAAAACAATTTGGTTTCACTCAGGTTGGTGCTTGTGGACCATCTGTGTCCCCCAGCACCATCTGTTAGGCAGTTCAAAGCCAGTTACCAAGGGGATGAGCTGTCACCTGATAGTGTCATCCATGTCCCTACAGCACTGTGCATAAAGGGGCTTTCCTTCTGTTTTGAGCAGGATGTAGAAGTATTTTAGAGTATCAAGCTGGAATTATACTTGGACAACTCCTAAGACATTACAGGAGCTGTTGGGTTTTGTCTTCTCACATTCCTCATGTTGTGTCTCTCCAGCTCTATGAATATCCTATTGACCCCCAAGGGAATGAGCTGCCTTTCCTGCGCAACCCAGATATCCTCGTGGGAGAGAATGACCTGACAGCCCTGAGCTACCTGCACGAGCCCGCGGTACTCCACAACCTCAAAGTCAGGTTCCTCGAGTCCAACCACATCTACACATACTGTGGTGAGTGCCCAGGCCCACACACTCAGCTCCTGAACAGCAGTGTTAGAGCCTGTCCACAGAGAACCTCGTGGAGACCAGAAGTGAGAGGCTGTGTCATGATGAGGTGGGGGGGCTTTGAATTTGGGGTGGGTGGGAGACTCATGTATGCACCAACAAGTTTTAGGTTGCAAAACTAGAGGTGGTTATTGAGGGTTGCTACATTGTGAGCTTCCAGAGCTCATGGTCCATAACTCCTGGTGGGAATGTCTGGTCAGATGGAATGGTAGATTTAGGTGAGATGTTAGGAAGAAATTCTTTGCTGTGGGGATGGTAAGACCCTGGCCCAGGTTGCCCAGAGAAGCTGTGGCTGCCCCATCCTTGGGAGGGTTGAAGAGCAAGTTGG